ACTTTCTGCATTAGATTTAGATCGTTGTAAACCAAATGTGTTTTCATTATGAAAAAATTCTAAATTTTAATTATTAATCTTGATTAATCAATTATCAATTTCCCTACTGTCCAAGAATTTTAAAAATTCGGAAAAGCTTTAGAATTTTACAAATTCTTACTAGAATACTACGTTATATGAGTTAGAGCTTAACATATGTATACAGTTTAATCAAAGACAGAAAGTATATTATAAAAATATATTTATTTTCATTGATTATACTTAATGAATACTTTTAATATTTTAAAGCGAGCCCGCCAAAGTTATATATATATATATAAGAATTTAAACGTAAGATATTAAAAGAAATTAAATTCTAAATATTGATGCTTTATTTGTTATTGTTTTTGAATATTATGTTTCGTTAGGAACCTTGAAAAAAATGTACATACACAATTTATGTATGTATATATGTATGTACTTAAAATTTCATTTCTTATTGTTCGAGCGAAAAACTCTAAAATGCTAAATTCTAGAGCATACATATATTTGAATAAAATTATTATTTTGTTTATGCCTAAACATTTTCTTCAATTGAAAAATTTATTTCTGTATGTTTATCCCCTTGATTTAATAATTACGAGTTTAAAATTTATTTCTATATGTTTAAGCACATTTTTGAATATCATTCAATTCATATAGGAAGCTATAAAAAAAAATTCGTTGGGAAGCTTTAAAAACAATATACATACATGCTTAATTTTTGGGAATTTTTCCAAAGTATTATAACAATATTTTTTTGGAAATTTTTCTTGAAAGTTTTATAACAATATTTATCTGTTATATATCAAAAAAGAAATAAAACAAAAAAATTTAAACAAAATAAAGTTAAAAAATGACAATATTTAGGCAAGCATCGATCTAATAACCTTGTGGTTATCAAATTACCATACTACCCACTAGGCTACGCAATACCTTGAATTTACATTTACAATTCTTTATTGAAAACCATCCTATTTTACATTATACGAGTATATATGTATATAGCTACTTCGGAGGTGTGAAAAGCTACCGGTACTTCTAGAAGGGCTACCGATTTAAAAGAAAAGACATAAGATAGGGTTTTGCGAGAATTCCACCCGCCAAATTTTGAATTTCAATAGTTTAACAACTTATTTATTATATTTTCCTTATGTTATTATATTACTTAATTATGTGTTTTAAAACTAAAGTACCATTTTTGTTTTTAGAATATTACAAAATTTATAATTTGTTAATTAAAAATATGAGTTATTATATTGAAACATCATATCACCTTATCATTAATACATTAATATTTAATCCTTGAAATTTAGTACTGTTATTGAAAAGATTAAATTGAAAATTATTAAAAAAAAAAACTTCTATTGAGAATTTTTTGATAACCTTGGAAAATTAATTGAAGGATTTTGTGATTGATATTTTAGGCATAAGTAATGATTTTATAATTTTCGAATTTGGGAAAGCATTTATATACATATATACAATGTATATATACAGATGTGTATAAGATTAAAAAACAATATTATATACAAATAAATTAATATTAAATTTTAAAATTCAAAATGCGATCCAAGTAACCCGCACTGTTGCTTTTAAAAACAAATTATTTTTAATGTTATTTTCATTTCAGAGTATATACAGGAAACTGATAATACATAATTACTTTTTTCAGTTTTTTTTAACTCGTACTAAAAACAACGATTTCTCTGATTATGTAAATATTCAAAAAAATACAGTGGTCCACATACGAATAAATGTTGCGCATGCGAAATTTAAATGTACATACATATGCTTATTCTTGTCAATTTTATTCTATATAAATAAAGTTGTTTTTCATATTTTCATAATTAATTTGTGATTTCAGTGATAGAACAAAAATATAGATAATATTTTTTTTTTAAATTTTAATTTAATATAAAAATAATTTAATCTGATATAAAAATAGTTAATATTTACGTAAGGTAAATGAAAATTTTCTTAGAATAAAAATTTTTATCATATATAAAAGAATTTGTGGCATTGTGCTAAAATATTAGAGTCATATATTTATAATATAATATTTAACAATATTTTAAGTTTAATTTAAAAAATAAAATTAAAATTATATCCAAAATATGCTTAAATATAAGCTTATCACTTAAGTTATCTGATAACACTATATTATAGCATAAATGCAATTGCATGAATAATTGATTGTTCAAAAACATTTATTTATTTTTTCCGCATGACAATACTGATAACAAACTGTCATAACATAATATAAACAGATAAGTGTCCTTTTCAATCCTTTTTCTTATTTGAAAAAATTAATGTTACAAATAATATAATATGAGTGTGTAGAAAATGATGATAAGTAAAACATTTTAAAAAAATGAAAAGTTGGGAAAGGGACCAATTGAATTTTGTAAACTTTATAGTTTTGTTTAAAATTTTTTAATTGAAATTTCTTTAAAATCGTAAATTTAGTTTTATAAATTATACATAGTTTGTGTTATTTCAGTTATTTCAAGTTAAAAAGTTCAAATCTTTCTGCTTTTTAGATTTTGTGTTAAGCAATTTTTTAAATTTTGCTCAAAAAACATTTGAATATGATTTCAATGCAAAATTTTAATTTGATTTTATAAAATTATTTTCCAAGAATATTTTGTTGTAATGAGATTTCAGATTTCAATAAATTTCAGTTAATCTGTCGATTTAGACTGTTCAATGCATTCGAAGCAATACATTTCAGATGTTTCACCCTTTTTTTTCTAAAAAATACTTTATATCTCATTCTCTTAAATTTTGAATGAGAAATAAAGCTTATAATATATTGAAACAGTGCAAAATATCAGAATAGATACCGGCAATATGTGCATATACATTTGTAGCATACTTATAGGAGTTAATTACGGGTAAATTTAATATTATCGATGCGAAACGCATTTTAGTGCCAGTAATTATGTTTATTAAAGAATGTGATTTTTGAAGGTTTTAATACTTAATTATTTCCTATTTCCTCAAAATAGATACTTAAATACGCATATACCTGTGTATGTTTGTATGTATATAAATATAAATAAATTACATATTATATATTATACATTTGTATTATATATTAATTAAAATTCAACTATAAAAAAAAATATGAAATAATTGCAATATTTAATTAGTGATAAATCAAATTTTTTAGTTAAGAATTTATTTATTAAGCTTTATTATTTATTTGTACACATATTATATCCACTTTAATAAATTATTTATGTGCATAATGATATCATTAATCATAAATAGACCAAATGCTAAGAATGTTAAACTAATTGTTGAACTATAATTTCAAAAATATTCCTAAAGAAATTCAAAGGCTCTTTGATAAAAAGTACTATATGAACAAAATAAATTACAAATATCTCAATTAAAACTATAGCCGCAATTAATTCATTATTAAAAATAAATATAGCCGAAAATTGAATTATTCATATACACATTTAAATAAATCTCAGGCGTATGAATGGTGTGTGACTTAGCTTCATAATATTATGAACAATTCATATATATATACGGTATACCAACATCAAAAATTTAAGAAAAATTTAATAGCTTCGTTAATAGCTTTAATCTTAAAAGAATCCATTTGAACAAGAAATATTTTTCTTTTCAAATACTATGAATTTGTTATATTGTATATTAATATGGAAAAATACAAAAGATATACTCCCCATATTTATTCAAATTCATTCAAAAATTTCGTTCTATTTAATTAACTATCTCAATTCTTTTGATTCAATAATGAAGTTTTTCTATAATAGATAATATGAAAATAAACTAGATATACTTACACAATGTAAATTTAATTATCTTAAATTTTGTATCTATATACAATTCTTATAAAATATAAAATGTTTATACAATAAATTCAATAATTTTATATAACTCAATTACTGTTAAGCTTTAATATAAACAATTATTATTGGCAAACAAACTACTAAAGGTCTTATTCTTTTATTTTTTTGTTTTGTTTTGTATATCTATTTGTTTGTAAAATAAAAATTAAATTTTTAGACGAATATATATAGAAGGTATTTTGCTTACTCTAATATTAGCAATGTCTAAATTAGCGAACAGAATAGCGATTTTAATATTAGCGATTATTTAGTTTTAAAATGAAAACAAGCATTTATTATATTTGTTTTGAAATAAATAAATATTCAAATAAATAGTAAAATTATAAATTTAAATCTTTACGATATTCAATGAGTAAATATAAAAAACAAAAAAAACTTTTTGAAAATATTACGCGAATTGCGTTTGCAAGATAAAATTTTAGCTTGATATTTTGTTTCTATTTTGAGTTCCTTACTAACTTACTTCAAAAAATTTATTATTGATAAATGAGGGTATTATAAATATTAGAAATGTATAATAATTTCAGGGTGCAGAATGTAGGATGAAAAAAAATATATTCACTTATTAAAAGTTTAATTTAGCTGTAAAGTCTTTTTCGCTCATTTAACAAATAGAAATAAAAATTATTTTATGATCTTGTATATAAATTTTAAAATTTTATGACGACAGTCTTTTATTTTCTTATTTATGCATTTAGCCTGTATATATAGGTTTTATATTACCGTAAAATAATAATTTGATAAAATTATGAATCATGTATGGAACAAAATAAATAGAGAAATTCAAGATAATTAAAGCTTAATTTTATCTAAAAAACGTTCTAAGCTCTTTCTCTTCAACTAAAGAGAAGGCATATACACATTTTAAATCACACTAATTTAAAATATTTTTTGTGACGTTAAAATTATGTTTTTTTTTTTTTCTTTTTTTATGATTTCATTTTACTTGTAGAGCTCAACCTAAATAGCCAGCAATTCGTCTAATAAATTAAAAATGATTTTTTCTTTCAATTAAATGATTAAAGCAAATACAATATTTTAATTAAATTAAATTAAATAATATAATATATAAAAGAAAAATAATTTTTATTACAGAACTTCAATACGAATGATGCACTTTGGACTGCTATTTAAAGCAGAAATTTTCAGAAAAATTATTAAGAAAAATATTTATTAATAAAGAATAGAAAATTTTATTTAAAACATGAAATATTATGGAGGAATTGAGGGGTAAGTCTTTTTTTTTAATTTAATTTTTTTTATTGTTAATATTCCAATTATGAGAAAAAAATAAAGCAGAAATAAAAATTAATAGAATAGAATCTTAACGAAATATTATAGATTTTGTAAATTGTTAAAATTATTTTGCTAAATTATCAATTTATATTTTGTAGAACAAAAAAATTGCAAATTGGAACATTTCATATTAAAATATGAGATCGTAAAGTGTTAATTAAAGATGTAATCGATAATATAAAATGCACGTTGAATACTTTTGCATCTTATAATCGATATTGCAGTTTACAAAAGCATTGTAACTTTTTAACGTTGGCAACATATATTATTATAAAAAATTTCAACTGCTAATTTTGTTGTGTTGTGCAAAATGAAAAATTTCAAAAAGGAAAAACATTTTATTTAATGAAATTTAGTTGTTAAAGCAGTTGCCAACTGGCTGCAAGCAAAAGCTGTACAAATTTGATATACAAAAGTTTTTTTAGTATAAATATGATTAATTGCCGATTAGTGACCTCCAGATGTATAAGTAAAAGTTGTATATGAAGTTTGATGTACAAAAATTTTTTTAGCATAAATATTGTTGATTGCCGGTTGGTAACCATTTGTTGTCAACCGGCATTTGACATTATCAATTACATCTTTGTTATAGATTTCAAATTCAATAATGCATTCATATCATATAATAATTAAAATACTTTAATAATTCTTTCATGATAACTTATAACTAAGGCATGAATATTTCAAGCAAATATTATCAAAAAACAATAAAAAAACAATTTATAACATTATGCTAATTTGCAAAGTAAAATACCGGTTGGACAGCTGATTTTATTCAATTTTTATTTTACTTTAGAAAACAATTGTATTATGTTGGAAAATTATAGTGTCCGGTAACACTAAACAAGTATGTATCAAGAAAATCTGAAATAATTATAAAAATTAATATGAGAATAATTAGATTTTTAATTTTTGTGACAAAAATATGCTTTTTGCTAATTACTAATATTTGTTATACAAATTGTTTGTTCTTATTTGCTTTAATATTTTTTGTACTAATTGAAAAATTTTTCAAAGTAAACCGAAGTATTAATTTGGCAGCTCGCTTTACAAACTCACTACTGAATATAATTAAATCTAAACTTGTCCTTTTTCAGTTTTATGAAACCCTTATTACGAATCCTCCACTCAAAAAACACAAAGAAATTTCAATTCAAATTTTATAATTGCAAAATTCAATTCTAATTTTATAATTGCAACTTTCTTGATGAAATTGTAGCAAAAATTTGTTGTTTTAAAATTAGTGTGGAATAAACATTTTTTTCAATTCTTAATGCCATACAGGCACTTTTAAATATTATCAAAAGTTACACGCTAATATTGATAATAGTAACAATTACTGTTACTATTACTGTTGATAAGACTTCGCTTCTTGCATAATTTTGAAAGCTTAAATTTACAATTTTTTGTTTATTTTATTTATGTTATTATTTTTACTTCCAAGTTTACCTGTTGTAATTTTTGTTTTGCATGTTTTTTACTTCGCCCACTGAAAATATAAATTTTACGTTTTTTACTTTTTAATTTATTCGCTAAAAAAATTTTTATTGATCCAAAATTGATCCAAAATTTTTGATTCTGCTTTATTTTTGCACTTTTGAAATTAGAAAGCTTCTAAAGTATTTGAATTGTTTGAACAATTAAGAAACTTCATTCAAATATATATAGTTTATTAACGGTTTTTATTATTGTAAAATTCTTGTAAGCTATTACAAAAAAAAATGAACTGACTTGCTAAGCTTTAATTTTGTTAAGCAAATTTTGTAATTTTAATTGTATTTGTTTTTAGTGGCGCAACCCATTCAAAACTTATAATTTGTAATGAAGAAGGTGAAATACTTAGTACAGTAACGGGTCTTGGAACAAATCACTGGATTTCTGGAATTCCAGAAGTAGCCAAACGTATTGCCGACATGATTGAAAAAGGAAAAAAGGAAGCAAAAATCAATCAAACAACAAAATTAATAAGCTTAGGTTTAAGTTTAAGCGGATGTGAACAGGTAAAAATATACAAAAATTATAAGATATAATTTAAAAATAATATAAAAATCGATTTAAAAGAGCATGGTCATGGTAACTTTAATTTTACTCACCCATTTTCTATTCACATAAAAGAAAAAATGTTTTTCTATACATCCGCGTACCTACTGGCTTAAAAAGTAAAACGATTTGCAATTGAAATATATTAAATAAGAATTAAATTTTTATAGGAGGCAACAAATAGCCAATTGCGTAATGCATTACGATCAAAATATCCAGATATTGCTGAACATTATGTAGTTTGTAGTGATACTGTTGGTAGCATTGCTGCGGTTTCTGCAAAAGGAGGTCTGGTTCTTATTTCAGGAACCGGTTCAAATGCTTTACTTAGAAATCCTGATGGATCTGTGCATGGGTGCGGGGGATGGGGCAATTTTCTTGGTGATGAAGGCAGCGGTAAGGAATTATTCTTAATTTCGCATACGTACTTACATTAAAATTCGATGCATACCTGTACAGTATTAAAAATAAAAATATATAATTTTTTTTTATATTTCAGCATGGTGGGTGTCACATCGTGCAATAAAAATAATTTTTGATGATATGGACAATTTCGAAAAATCACCATATCCTATTGATAAAGCTTGGGAATTAACCAAAGAGCACTTTTCATTACAAAACAGAAGAGATATATTAGATCATTGTTATGCAAAATTTGATAAACCATTTTTTGCTAGTTTATGCAAAAAACTAGCATTAGCTGCTGAAAACGATGATAAACTTTGTCGGTATTTATTTAATGAGGCTGGACGACTATTGGCAAGATTTGTTATAGCTTTACTTCCAAAAGTACAGAAATCTCTGGTAGATAGTGGGGACTTAAGAGTTCTTTGTGTTGGTTCAGTATGGTTAAGTTGGAAACTTATGCGAGAAGGTTTTATAAATGAGCTAAATAATGTATCTATAGATTTCGGATTACAAATGGTTACTCCTACAAATTCAATTGCAATGGGCCCAGTTTATTTAGGAGTAGATGGTGTAAATCATGATTTTCCAAGGAATTATGAAGCTAACTATAAACTTTTTTATACATATAAGCAGCATAAACAAAATGGTTGTATATAATAGTATTTCTATTAATGGATATAATTAAATTGATATTACTTTATTATTAAAAATAAATTAGATGTACATACAAGTAAATTAAAATATATAAAGCTGTTATAGACTTGAGATTGGAAATTGTTTATCGTAAATGATAGGAGATTGATTACTAAAACAAAATGTTGTTAGAATGAATTTAAAAATGAATGTCTTAAATCATACGTAATCTTTATTTAAAATTTAGGATAGTGTGAATTACGAATATTTGCAATTTTTTTTTAATATGTGTATCTATTCTTATAAGAAAATGTATTTACAATATTTTAAAATTAAAATGCTCAGATAAAAGTAAAACAATATTGTAAATTAAAATAAAATTGAACGAACGTATTCAATTGAAAAGACTTTGTTTGTATTAGCGTATTAGCCAATTAGTTTTATTATAGTTCAAATAAAACAAAGGCTAACTTGAAGGGTGATAAATAATAAAGGAATAAAAATATTTTGCTGGATACTGATTTTATTATAGTAATATAATTTGTACATATGTTAAATAATATTACCATAATATCGTATTCCTAACTCTAAGTTTTTATTAAAAAATTTGAATACGTCTTATTTACAAATACCCATAACTTCCAAGACAATGCATTACTTTTTTAAATAAAATTTAAAATCAATTTCAGTTTTAAAATTTGAGAAACAATTTACTGATTTTTTATATTGCACTAAAATTTAATATTAAAAAATGTTTATTTTTACAAGTTTTTTACCACTAGTGAAAGTTTAACAAAATATGCTCTTACATTTTATTTCTCTAAAAAGGGTTAACATTAAAACACCTTTGTGTCTAAACAGGTAAATTGTAAATCTGCAAAAATACAATATTTTGGGTGCATAAATACAAGCGTATATTTGATCAGTCAATATATGTAAATGATGGAATTCGTGATTGACAGATTGCCAAATAAAATTTATTAAAAAAACATATTGAGTAGAAAATTATAAAAGTACATATGTAATAATAAAAATATTAATGAATACACTTACATATAAATTTAGGTAAATGGAAAATTGAGGAATAGCTCGTTATGACTCTTCTGGTTTGACTTTGATTTTCATTTTTTTTAATCCGCGATAAATAGTAATATTTAATATTTCATCCTTGTCTGAAAGTATCTCATAAATATCAGAAGAATTATGCACATTTTTTCCATTAATATCAACAACTATGTCCCCAGGGTTTAATCCACCTCTATAAAAGGATTTCAAAAAATTAATTGAGAAAATGTGAATTGTAGTTGACTTACTGGTGAGCAGGCGATCCAACTATAACTTTCCATACTAAAACTCCATGGGTAATATTTTCAGGAACAGTATCACTTCTATGTTTTAATTCTGTTAAAATTTCGTTTGTTAAAGTTAACATTGTTATTCCAACATATCTCCGTATGGGACCTCCAGGTGTAACTGAACCACCTTTTTTTCTCCTTTCTTCACTTTTTTTTAAAAAATTTTTGGCATAATCTATAGGTATGGCAAAACTTATTCCGGCTGTAACTTTCATGCTATTAATGCCAATTACCTCGCCATCTAAATTTACTAATGGACCGCCAGAATTCCCAAATGTAATTGCTGCATCTGTTTGAACATAATTAATATCGCGACCCCTCAGTCCTAGTTCATGTGATGCTCTTTGTGTTGAGCTAATTACACCAGCAGTTACGGTATTACTTAAAGCCAAGGGACTTCCCATTGCTACCACCCATTCACCTGATCGAAGTGAACTTGACTCCCCAAGTTTCATTGTGGGTAGATTTTTGCACTGTATTCTTACAGTAGCTAAATCAGATGTAGGATCAACCGTTTCAACTACTCCGGGGAAAGTTCTTCCATCACTTAATCTTACGCTTACTACAGTGTGCGGTTTATTTATGACGACATGAGCATTGGTCAAAATAAGACCATCAGACTCAACAATAAAACCAGAACCGTTGGAAGCAGTAAAAGGTTGACCAGTAAAGTAATCAAAACGTTTGGTGTCTTTAATTTCAATGTAAACCACAGCCGGACCGCACACTTCTACAACATCTGCTATAAAATTATATTTATTGCGACGACCAGCTAAAGATGAAATATCGCATTTCGGTGAGGCTATGAGACTTGCATTATAAACAACTGGCAATATTTTTTGATTTTTAATAGCTCGCCAAATCAAATAACCAAATAATATACTGACTGAAACTGAACCAATTAAAAAACTTGTTGAATGCAGTATCAACGGTCTTTTAAATCTTTCTTTTTCTTTCTTGAAAGGACTAAAACTTAAGTGTCTTACAGAATTATATAAAAGCGCATTATTTTTATAACAATTATAATTTATTAAAATCGATTTAGAAGTTCTAAGTGCAATACCCGAAAACATTTTATATACAATTAAAATGATTCAAAAAAAAAAAAAATAACAAGAAAAAGGATACTCACTCACTGTCAAAACATAGGTAGTTTTGACAGTTAACTTGAAAGTGGAAAAAAAATCTAATGTTTCTCAACAGTTTACATCACGATAAGTAAATCTTACCGTTTAAAAAAATTTAGCTATTATTAAAATAAGTTTAAGCACATATTTTTATTCTCTTAAATTGTAACAAAATTAGGTATTCCATTTTTCTTCTTGTTAATGCGAAAGAAATTCTTTTAAAATCCATTGCTTTTCGTTTTTGAAATTTAATATAAGAATTTTTGTATTAATTAAATGTTTTAATTTCATGCCTAGATGCAAAAAAAGAGTAATATCATTTTAGCTTACATAATTTTAACCAAAACCTAAATATCATTTACAGTTACATATACATATGTAACTGTTCCTCTTATTAATATTAATTTTTCTTCAAAATTCGTATAATATTTTTCTTATTCACTGTCTAAAATAGTTCTTTTATTTAAAAAAAAAAACTTTCTGTGGAAAAGGCAGTTAAATGGCATTTTAGAATATCACAATTTGGACTACAGCTGTCATATATAAGTTACAAATTACAATCTACAAGGAATTTGATAGAATTGAAATCTTATTAAATTTTAAAATGATTTCCACTTCGCTACTTTTTCGTTCTACATATACAATGAAAATATAAAAAATGTTCTAATGTGCGAACTCTATTTAAAGTTGTCAAAAAGAGAACAATCAAATCAAATCAGTATAACATAGAACAGAACAGACAGAAAAACAAAGTGATTTTTTTGTGGATAGGGAAAATTTATTTTAATAAATTAATTGTTAGTCAATGTTTATAAATGTATTTATTTTACATTTTTTTTTAAATAAAATTACATTAATTATTTCAATGGAAAATGGAAGTTTTTCAAACAGATCAATATTATATATTTGTAAAGCGTGAAAAGAGTTTGTGGTGGAATAGAACAACATCTGAATTTAAAATTAAAGCTGGTAAGGATATTTAAGATAAAATTTATTACAATATTTTGTATATTTATATACATATCTAATATGTGTACATACACATTTATATTTAGATAATGATAATTTTATTAAATATGACTAATATTAAACTTTCAAGTTCAAATAAAAACCACATAGGAACCTATCAAAATTTTTTTCTACCACATTTCGAATTAGAAATATCATGTTTTTTACAAAACAGCTTCTATTTGTTTTTTAGAAATGATAAATTTAAATATAAATATAAATTTAAAAATATACACAAAAAGTCTAAGATTGAATTGAATGTTTTAAGACTAACTTTATCAGACAATTGATTTTTTCATAAAGTAAATAGGGTAGACAAAAACTTAAAATTAAGTGAAACTAGTAATGAAGTTGTGACTAATTTACATAATATATTTGTCCAATATCAATTAAACAAAATTTTCTAAATCGCATTCAAGTGTTGCTGCTCATATTTAAATTTGTAAGAAAGGAAATACCTATTACTAATAAAATTTGTTTCTACCCATTTTTTTTTAATATAAAACACTAATAGCTTTGAGTACCTTCGTATCAATTCTTTAAGTAATTTTAAAAAATCAAATTCTTTTTCTCCTTTTTAATTGCGAAATAAAATTAAATTTCTCAAAGATTTTCAGATAAATTTCCTAATCACATTATACACTGTACATTACTTTTTATTTTAGCTAAATTTTCTGTGTATGTAGTTATGCAGATGTCCACCAAAATTATTTGAATTAATCTTAAGATAGGTAGGTATGTATTGTTTTTTAAATCCCAAGTTATGGTATTTTAAATCCCAATTGAGTTGAAATACTGTAATGAATAGAATTGAAAAAACTACATTTGAAAAAAACTAAACTCTTAAGCTCAAGGATTTCCTTTATTTTGGATGAAAATCAAACACATACAATACTTAAATATATTAAGTACGTGTGTGTATATAAAATTTTGACAATTTTGCGAATATGTACTTATATCTGTAGGTATGGGTATGTTAAATTATGAGGACATTAGTCACATATTCTCAAAAAAAAAACCAAAATGCAGTAAAAATTTTTTCGCAATTAATCAAAGCGTTTTCTTTTTAATCTAACAAAGATAGGGTGTTTACAGTTTATTTAAAATTATTATACTTGATTAAAAATATCAACATTAAAATTTATATAATGATGTTAAAATTTTGTTATTTTGAAAAAATTCATCCTAACTATAAAAATTTGCATCGTAGCTTATTCAATAGCGCTACAGTGAACAAATTTCTAAATCAGAGCTATCAGAGAGCTTAACGGCAAGCCTATCCAAGCTCATTGGTTTGGACCTTCTCTTACTAGGCATACAAATATCTAGTACATTATATGCCACATTAATGAAAGAAACTATCAACTTACCGTGTAACTTGAACATTAAAGTTGTAATGAATCAAATGTACGTATGCTTATTACGAGCAAATAGAGAGATTTTCGATTTATCTCATTTTTATTACATTTACATTTAAATGAAGCAAATTAAATTTCTTCATATTTTTGCAGTAGGTAGAGGTACGTAGATATGCCTCCCACAAATTTTTTTGTCGAAAAATAATGATAATGATATATACATATGTATATGTATATATTTATTGTGCTTACTATATAATTTTTTCTTATATTTCTTCATGCCAGGTTGGGATCTATCTTCGGTGGATGATATTGAATGTTTGGGTATAACGCTTGGAATAGTGGGTGTTATCAATTTACCGGGAGTTTATGAACCTCATTTAGTGATAATAAAAGAAGCTTCACCTGTTGGTGTTTTATATCCGCCAAATCTTGTATATAAAATTAAAAGCATATGTGTCTTAGGATCTGAACTACCCGATTCAACCTTAACAACCTGTCCAAGACATAAAAGTTCAAGGTATGTAACTATGTAAAATGCCTTCTAAAATTTTGTACATCACATGTTCATATACCCAAAAGGGAATTTCATTTACAATGCAGAAATTTTAAAACAAGTAAACTTTTGTAATAAAGTATGAACATATTATAAATAACGTTGCAGAAAAATATAAAATAATATAGTTTCCTAACATTATATTGTATTTTTTATTAATTATTTGCATAAATTATTAAGGGCTATAAGCACACCATCATCAAACAGATCTCGCTTATTTGAATCTAGTCAGTTAATGAACAAAACTTGGGGTGCTGTGAAAAGTGCTGGAACCACTATAAAAAATACTACACAACATGCAGCTGCTATTGCATCTAATCAAGTAAAGTCCACAGTTGGAATACGAGATCCGACAAGAATAGAAAAAAAGATTACAGAAGAACTTCATAAAATATTTGACGACACTGACAGTTTTTATTTTTGTCCAGATGGCGACATAACTAATAATTTGCAAAGGCGTTCAGAGGATACTGTTGATGAACGATTTTTTTGGAATAAACATATGGTGGAAAATATTTCGGTTTTTAATGTAAAAATTAAAATATAATAGCTAATGTTGTTAAAGTTTGAAATTTTTTAAAATTCTTTGTAGGATAAAACATGGATTCTCCCTATCATACAAGGATTTGTTCAGGTTGAGCATTGCGTTATAGGAGAGGATTGTTTTACATTGGCGTTAGTTTCTAGACGTTCTAGGCATAGAGCAGGCACTAGGTAAATTTTTATTAGATTTTTCCATACCCTAGTCTTACAAAAATTTTATTAATAATAGGTATAAACGTCGCGGTGTAGATGTCCAAGGATTTTGTGCTAACTATGTTGAAACAGAACAAATTCTTTCCTTTAGACATCATCAAATGTCATTTACACAAGTTCGAGGATCAGTTCCAGTTTATTGGAGTCAACCTGGATATAAATATAGACCACCACCCAGATTGGATAGAGGTTAATATAAATTTAAACATTTTGTTAGTTCAAAACCATTACATGAATTCTAACTAATTTTTTAGATGAAACTGAAACTCAAGTGGCTTTTGAAAAACATTTTAATCAGGAACTTGATATTTATAAAAACATTGTTATTATAAATTTGGTTGAGCAAACTGGAAAAGAAAAAGTGATTGCTGATTCTTACGCTACACATATTGTAAAATATAACAGCGATCGACTAATTTATGTTACCTTTGATTTCCACGATTATTGGTACAGCCATAAAGTTTTTGAAACATTTATATTTTAATCAGTTAAATTTAATTTCAGTAGAGGCATGCGTTTTGAAAATGTTTCAGTATTAGTGGAAGCACTTGCACCTGAGGCAGGAGCAATGGGCTTTCACTGGCGTGACGGACAAGGGACCATTTGCAACCAAAAAGCCGTTTTTCGTGTTAATTGCATGGATTGTTTAGATAGAACAAATATTGTGCAAACTGCTCTTGGTAAAGCTGTATTGGAGTCTCAATTAGTAAAATTAGGTTTAGCGCCGCCCTACACGCCAATACCAGAGCAGTTAAAAAATCCTTTTATGGTTCTATGGGCGAACAATGGAGACGTGATTAGTCGTCAATACGCTGGAACTAATGCTTTAAAGGTTTAAAGTTTTTTAAAAAAGTTTTTAAAATTATTTCATAAAGTAACATTGCTTCAGGGAGATTATACTAGAACAGGAGAACGTAAACTCACTGGAATGGTTAAAGATGGAATGAATTCGGCAAATAGGTAAACCTTTACCAATATCTTATAATATGTTACACTCTCGAATTCCATTTATTTAATATTTTTATATTTCAAATTATACATGCAGATATTATTTAGCGCGATTTAAAGATTCATATCGTCAAGCAACAATTGATTTAATGTTGGGTAATCCTATTTCGGCTGAATCTTTAAACGCTTTAGGGGGCCAACAGGCCCCTGACGAAACAGATGCTTCGGAAGGTGCAGAGCACGCAAAGTTACTAGTGGAAGATTGTCGTAGGCTACTATTAGGATCAGCTCAGTATCCAATTGGTTCTTGGGGACTTATAGATGCAGATCCTAAGTATGTTATGTTTTTTTCAGATGCTTATTACAAGCTAAGTGTATTTTTTTTTAAATGTTTAGTACTGGCGATTTTTCTGAAACTGAAGTTGATACTGTATTATTGTTGACAAGTGAATATTATATCGTGGCAGAATACGACTCTCATTTAGATAAAATTATTCGTTTTGAAAAAGTTCAATTAGAAAACGTTACTTTAATTGAACTAGGAATGTATCAACATACAAAAATTTTTCAAGGAAATGCTCAATCGTTTTTATGTTTACGAATAAATTATGTTGTAGATGGTATTGATGGATTTTTCCAAATGTTTCGATCAGCAAATTTAAGATTTTTCAATAACGTAGCAGTTCCGATAAAGTCGGATGAGGAAATTATGGGTAAGTTTAGTAAGTTTAAAAATTAAGTTGAATTGTTGATATTTCTGTGTATTTCAGAATCATTAGCTTCTATTGTGGAATTCTTTCGAATTGCTCTTGAAACAATAGGAAAAAAGGATGTTAAATATGTTTCAGGTGGTGTACTGCAAAAGAAAAGCAAGCAAGCACTTCTTGACATTCCAAAGGTAATAGATTAAGTAGATATTTTGAAGAAACTTTTATGAACCGTTTTTGTTGTAGAACATACCAAGAAATCTTTCGGAATCACAATTAGTTCAAATGAGTTCTAAAGCCATCAGTAACGTCGCTGGACAATTTTCTAAATTAGGGCAATCATTTCATTCAAATAAAAAATCTAATAAAACTGCAAAAAAAGGTGAAAAAATTGAAACCGGAGTTGAAGCTAAAGAAAAGGTTGCAGTTTTCACTTTGGGATCTGGTAATAAGCACAAAACTTCTGATGAAAGCTCGGACGATGAAGATCATGATAACAGTATTTATGAACCAAACAGCGAAATGGATGCACCTTTAATTGATTTTGGTTCACCACAAGATTTTTTACCAAGCGTCGGAATAGTAATGTCGACTAGCAATACAAATAATGATTGCTCTAATCAAAACTACATGCCAACTAAAGTCTGCCAGTTAGAAAACAAGGATAATACAGTAAAAATGTCAGAGGATGTTTTAACTGTTTCAATTACTTCCGTTATGGATCACATAAATCTGCCGGCTGGCTTACTTGAAAATTCAGCTCCAGTTTGTCCAAGAAGCCCAACGCCTGAGATTCGAATACATGCAATTACAAATAATGAATTAAAACAAACAGCTTCAGCAAACGAAACAAGGTTAACTTGAAAAAAAGTATGACATTTTTTAATGTTACATTATTATTAATGACTTTCAGGTCTTGCTCACCAAATGATTTATCATTACATTTGAGTGGATCTCAAAGTGATAATACTATAAAACAATTAAAAACTTTGACAAGCCCATTGTCAAAACTTGCCAAAGGTGTACAAAATTTGGGAATGAATTTGGATCCAAGAAAGAAAGTAAGCAAAATATGTTCACATCAATATTTCTTTTTAATTAAAAGTTCTTTTTGGTTATAAGACAATAACTAGTTGAGTTGTATATAAACTGTTTTGAAACAGTTTATAATAAACAGTTATTAATAATAACGTTATAAAATTTTCTAGACTGGAATTCAATCTCCGGTTGAACCTCATGGAAGTCCAGAAAAATTTGATAGCGATAAATTATATGAGATTTGGAAAGTAAATAAGTGTCGAACTAAGTTAATAGCGTTATAAAAAGGGATCAGTATTTATAAATTGACATTTTTAAGGTAAGTCTACATTAAATTTTTATTTTTTATACTTTCTCATGCTTGGTAATTTTAAGTAATATATAAGTTAATGTAGAGGTTTCGCATGATAAAAAAAATATTGCTTTTGAAAGAAAGGTTGAAAGGTTGTAATTTTAATAGAATTTTAGTTTTTTTAGTATTTCCCCGAAATTTGTTCACACGATCTTCCTGTCTTGTAAACGAAATAATTAAATTTCATAAAAAATAGTTTAGTTTAGAATAAAGGTTTAAATTTCGAAGAATGCTAATCGGTTATATAATTAGTTCTTCATATTATTGTGTTAACTTGAAATATTTAAATAATGAAAGAAATTAAATTAAATTGTTCATTTAAGTTTTGCAATAAAAAAATGATCTGTTTTTTTAGCTTAAAAAAAGAATTTTTTTTATTAATTTTTGCAATTTTTTTTAATAGGGAAAAATTTTTTTATTTAACGAATAACAATTAAACTACAACTTTAAATACAATGATACAACTACATATGTATTTTCCAAATTCTTTTAAAAGTTAAAATTTTTAGCACTTTTACGTTTGATTATGATTTTTATAAATAAATATGATTTAATTAATCGATTTGAAAATTTGTATTCAAAATAGAAGAATGCTTTCAATACTTTCAATAGGTTTTGCGTGCCCATTTATTTTGTTTTCAAGTACCTAGTATATTTGATTCTATTTACATTTCTTCTATGTTAAATTAAACAAACAAACCACTAAAATTATATATGTTTAATAATTTAAAAGTATGAAGTAATAAGTTTGCATATTTTTAAGTTGTTATATTATTAACAATTCATGTTAATAATATCACAATTAAGTGAATAATTATTAGTCCATTATGAAACAGCGGATTTAATTACTTAAAATATTCCGTACATGTGTGCATAAATAAGTAGTGTTAGTAATAATAACTGCCCAAAGTGTTTTACTTATATTATATAAATAAATAATTTATAGCTGCTCAATTTAACAACTTTTTGTTTCTGTTAACTTTCCTAAAAATGTATAAATAATTTCATTCCATTATTTTAATTTTGTTTTTTTTTTTCTTCACTGAAAACAACATAGTCATACGTATTATGTACTCGTATAATATTTTACACTTATAATATTTTATTAATAAAATGTTACATGTTATTTAAACTTTCTTTTGAAATATTTAGTCATAATCAAAATTTAAGCGTATCAGAAAATAGGATAGAAAAATATTATTGATATTTTTATACATTATTTGTATATTAAATAATTTATTAATACTTGACTTAAAATTGCAGGTTATACGAAATTTTTAAGGTATTTGCGACTATACTGAGTATTAATTGAAATATATGCACAAATTTATTTAGATTTACATAATATAAAAAAAGACAACGTAATTAATTTAAATTATTCTCGGAGTTATCCGTTAAAAAGTCTTTCAATTTTAATGATGACAAAGTGTTTTTATTTTGGCCAATAAAATTTTCCCAAGAATTTTTTGGTGTGTGCATTTGGGGTATTTGCACAAATTTTTGACTTTGCTGGTTTTCATTAATGCAATTATCAGCTTCAACATTATCATTTAATTCTTGCACCTCAATGGTAAGTTTTTCAAATATTATATTATTTTTATTAATATTATGTTGATTTTTTGTTAGTGATAGAAAATTTAATTCATTTGCAAAATCTGTCCATTGATTAGACTTAATTTGATGTTGCTCTTTATTTTTTTCAGCCTCTGTAAATTCTTTAGTTTTATAATAAATATTTTCTCCTGCTCCTTTAATAAATTCTTGAAGATATAACTCTTTAACATCATCTATAAGTGTTCCATCGCTATTTTGAAAGCCTAGTCGTAATAAAATTGAAATTTTTGTATTCATATTACTTAACCATTCTTTTGTTGTATTAAAAATACAGGTTTGCTTAGTTTCTTCAATACTATTCCAATAGTCTAATATAATGTCTTTAGTATAATCAATTAAAACAGTTTTCTGAACATCAGGATAAAACATTGATATACCATCTAAATGACGAAACGTAACATCAATTAAATGTTGTGAATGTGGTGAAATTGAAATTTGCCATTTAAAAACCATTAACATTAAATCCCATAATTTTGACATTGAAGGTTCTTCCAGACGCATCAAAGAGCAACATGCAGTTTCATAAAGAATTTTCTTAAAATTTGATTGATTTATTAATGAATGTTCATTATTCACATTTAGAAGTTTTTGTATATATTTTGGATTTAAAAGGACATTTGTAATATCGTTAATCACTTAAATAAAAAGAGAATACATTGAATATTAGCGACATTTTTTTCCTAATTAATATGATTTTAAGTTTTTAAATTTAAAACAATTACGTGTATTTATTTAAGTTCTTAATATTAATTCGGACACGTTGTATGAGATTGTTTTCAAAATATAGAGTCCTTTACGTACCTTGAATCGATTTGTCGGTTTCAACTTCTTGTGCTTTAAGTCTTTGATCTATGACATAAAGCATTTCACATCCCAAATTAACAAATATGAACATATTAGCTTCCGACATTATTAAAAATATAATTTTTATTAGATTTGCTGTAGTAGTTGCATAATCTTGAAAATGTAGTATTTTTAAACTGATTCAATAAAAATATAAACCAATGAATATACTAAACTAAATTTAACTGAATTCGTGTATATTAAAAATAAAATAAATTGCACCGCGCAATATCTCCAATGTTGTGGCCTGTAAAATTTCTGGTATTGTCATTTAAGAGTAACCAAAGTTACCAATTTTTGTTTTAACAAAGACAAATAAAATCAATACTTTAGTTATAATAAGTTTCAGTAGTGCTTTTCTTTTTTGATATTATAATTTACAAAATATAAATGAAAAGTTATTAATTTTTTGATACAACAATTTTTTTCTTATTTTCCAGTGCTCAAATACATGCTGTTTCAATGGGCTTAATTAAAAAATCAGCTTATTTAAAATATTCTTCCAGAGAACAATGAATTAAAAGTAGTTTTTAGTAGTCAACACATTTTTAAGGAACAAATTTCTATGCGTTTAAAACCTTGTAACGAAAAGGTTCCTAATAGCAATCTATTTTAATTTTTTAATAAAGGGAAATTATTAATAAATACTATTATATATAATATAATATTTCTAATCAAATATAAGAAATCAACTATAAAAATTTTGTCTATTATAATAAAATAGTTTCTCATCTACTTTATAAATTGTAATGTAAACTAATATGTGTTTTAAACACTATATCAATTAAATTTAGATTTTAGATTTGGTTCTTTTTTTATTATGATTTCATTATGAAAGTGTTGTAGTCATACATTTTAACTTTTCTCTAGGTTCTGTGTATAAAACTTTTAATTTTTGTTAACAAAGTAATTAACTGTTTTTGTAGCAGCTTTTGTAGCATATAAAATGTTGTTAAATTTTGTTTATGTTCTTAATTTTTTATTTAATTGATCATCAGGTTAAGTATATACATATATACATATATGTTGGGGAGAGTGGTGTAAACTCGTGTACTATAATTTGAGCAACTTCTAATATGTTGAGTTAAGAAAGAAAAGCACTATTTTTTATTTCGCTTTATTTTATTATTCATTTTCAATCCGTTTCTGTTCGTAATAAACAAAAGATGTAAAAAGTGGGTCCTAATGTAAATTTTACGCTTTCTAATTTCGAGAATTTTCTGAGAAATGTAAGTTTTTAGAATATGTGCTAATACTCGTACAGTATATAATTAAAAAATGTATTTTTGTAATAGACGATTTTTGTAATGCAAATTGCTTTGCTATTTTGTAATATTCGTTTTTCTAATTATTATTTCAGTTTTTCAAAATATTAAATTTTTTTTTGAAGTGCGCGATATTAGCCCACTCTCTCCTACGTATATGTACACTACTTATGTTTCCATAATATATTTATATATTTCTATATCCATATGTATGTCTAATTATCCCCGTTTTAGGTAGAATACGGTTATATATATGTTAAATAAGGACTTAAACGAATTTTTAAAAACACTACAACAATATTTCTCAATATTTCTTGCTTTTATGATTTCTTGCGTTGCAGTAGGTAAATCTTCTATTTCCTACGGTAAATTCCTATTTTAAGTTAATATTTTTAATTTAGTATTTCCTACAATAAATTACTTTTGCTTGAAAGAGAAAAAATCTATAGACAAAATCTTGGCAAGATATTTTTTTTTTTTTTAATATTCTCACCTATATATTTAAAAAATGTGAAAATTTATGAAAAAAAAAACTTAAAAATGTTAGCAACTTGTTCAATTTACAGTTCATTGAAATTTTCTAATATTTTTTTTAATTTATTTTTATGTAATTATTTATATTTACATTTATTAATTTTAATTTAAAAGTTTTAACAATTATTAACAATAATTAAAAACTATAGAAATTATTACAAAATTAAAAATACTACAATAACTTCGAATAGTAAAACATTAAATTTTAATAAATATGTTCGATTTGAAGAGAAGTTCAAATCTAAGAATAAAAAAGTTCTGGATATGTAACAAAGTATAATTATACTCTACTAGTGTATGAATCATTTGTAAAAAACATTTGTCATATGTTTTAACTTCAAGCAGGTAAATCAATTCTTACATTTTTCCAAAAAAAAAAACAGAGTTTCTAGACACGTTTTTTAAATGCTAGCATTCTTGTAACTTTTAGAATCAATATTAAGCTTTGTGGTGTTCAAATTTCTTGCAAATTAATAAAGATGTACTTTTTGTTCCTAAATACAATTTCAAAAATTATTCATTTGTTCAAGTATATCACAAAATTTGGGCAGTCAACTCTATTTATTTTTGTTTTTAATGTAATTCATAATTTTCTTCAAAGTATTATTTTTTAAACTATCGAATTTCTTATAGTATAATTTTATATTTTAATTAAATATGTAAGACAGATATTATGTTTACATAAACATGTAAAATATTAATTTCGTTTGAAAAATTTACATGTTCGTATATTATTAATATTACGTAAATTGTTATTGTTATTTCTTGTATTAATTTGGCTTTAATATAAAGCCAAAAATTAAATAAAAATTAAAAACATTAAGTATCATTGACATTAGATTTTAAATTATAATAAATACCTATTATAGACCAAAACATTAATATACAACTTAGAAAGAAAATTAATAAAGAAAATATGATAAAAAAAAATAATGCTTATGTATTTGATTGTGATAATTTTTTTTAAATTAAATTATAAAATAACAACACACATAACTAATTATAATAAAATAATAATTAAATTAATATTATAATAAGCATTATACTATTATAGTTGAAAATTACATTTATGTAGCAATTACATTAAAAATATTAAAAAAATATAATATTATCCTATATATATATCATGTATGTAATATTTAAAATGTAATTGTAGTTCGAAAAATTAAACAAAAAAAAACCCTTATAATTTGAATAGGTTTCTTAGTATTTAATATAAATTATAATTTACAATTAATATACAACTTGTTATATTTAATTTCAATGAATATATAGAAAATACAATTAATGTATTTATTACCCAAATCAAATATAATATACATTTATATTAAAATAAACGTATATAGAACGTATTACAGATACACAAATGTATTATATAAATTTTATGTGATTGCATCCACAATAAAAAGTTATACGTATTATCTGGTATATTATAAAATAATTATATATTCATAATACTCCCATAAACATATATTACATATACAATATTTAAATTTATATCAATCTTACAAAATATAATAATTACTTAAATAAAATGAAATAAAGTCAGAAAAAATAATTAAAAAATTTACATACAATACGTCAATTATATAATATTTTAAAATAAACTATTACAAAAAAAAATAAAGAAAATAAGTTTGTAGAGATAAGATGAAAATTTTTTTTCTTTTTAACAAATTTTGCGACATAAATTGTTAATCATGGCACAGAGTTTTTCTTTTTTTGTTTATCACCGAAAATTAATATAATATAGTTTTCAATTAAAAATTATAAAATTTTAAATTAAATTTTATTTAGTAAAAATAAGAAATTGCATGTAATATTTAAAATAATGAAATGTGTGAAAAAAATGCATGCACGAAAAAGAAACCAGTAATAGCAATAATTAAGCCATAATTTTTAAGCAATCATAAATTTCAGTTATCATTTCTTCTTTTTTTCGAAATATTTAGTGAAAAAACACAATAGTTGTACATTCATCATTCAAATGTGTGAAAATATTTCATTCGTTTATATGAAAATATAAAAGTGAATAGAAGTCAAGTCGTTATTGTTGCTGGATGATAATTAATTAACGAATTTTTGTCATTCATAGTTATTAAGTATAATATTAACATATATATAGTATACATATTTTTATATAAACTAATTCGGAAAACAAAAGTAAATTTTCATTTAAGTATTTAATCTTTAATTTTGAATTTCATATTATATAAATTATAAAATAGTCAATTATCGTTATATTTAATTGAAAATATTGCGAGAATTCTGAAACAAAATCCGGCTGAATATATGATTACGTGCATTAATATTTTCGATTTGAGATCAGGTACTCGTTTTTATTCCACAATTTAAAAGCATATTATGCATTACTCTAAATGTACGTCCAATAATCTAACGAGAGTTCATTGTAAAAAAATAATTTTATATACATAGTTTACGGAATATCGAATTCTGACCAAATGCAAAGCTAAAAAAAAATAAAAAATAATATGAAATTCAATTTTCAATTTAATTCGCATTTATTTATTACTTAGAAAATTTTTGAAATTTTCTTGTTTGCTTTTAATTTTTTTCACATTAAAGACTTTAATTAAATCCTCTGTATTTTATTTTTTAATAAATTCCTTTTTTTTTAGTGTAAACCGAAATTATACATTTTGAAAGTTTGAAGACATCTAATAAATGTAATATAAATAGATATGTACATTATTCTAATTTAATATTTTAATTTTAAAATTTTAATCGAAAGTTTTTAGATAAGTATTAAAATTTGACTACAAATTCACTTAAAATACGGCTGATGAATAATTAATAACTAATAAAATATAAAAAAAAAACATGGGGCAAATAAATGTATATAATAAAATTATAATGCTCCCATAAATTAATATTCAAAATTAATTTATATTTAGAACAAAATAAATAATATTTGTAGAAAAGGTTCACGTGCTACTTATTTATCTGGCTACTTATACAAATTAAACTAGAGCATAATTAATGATTTAATTATAAAATTAATATTGTTTTGCAATTAGCCATTTATATTTATTTTATTTTATTTTTTTTTAATTATATTGACTACATTTTATGATATTAATAAAATAAAATATTTCGAGATTTCGTTTTATTTATTTTAAAATTTTAAGTGGATAATTATTTAATAATGAAAAAAAAAAAACTTTTGTAATGGTAAGATATTTTAACATATTGTGATTTCTGTAGCAATTTCGATAAAAAATAAATTCTAACATATGATTCATTAAAAACTAGAATGAAATTCAATTTAAACTTGAAAAAAGAGGTCTAAAGTATACTCACAACAAAATAACTAGCCAATATTTCATCAAGACACAAACAACAATTAGTCAAGAATCATTGTACTTTAATTTCATCTATCAGTAAAATGAAAATATTTTACGATATTTTTATAAAAATTTAAGAAATTAATAATTAGTTGCAATTAGTTGGTACCAAAATATGCTACTAAAGTAAAGAACAACTAACAGCAATATTTGCATACTAAATTACTATTGGGTTAATTTTTACATGAGAAACTGAAGAAATATTTTTTGCGGTTACGTTAATTAATTAAATGACAATGTTATAATATACATTAAAACTCGATCAGTAGTAATAAAATTTTTAACTTCAATTCGGAAATATATGAATTTAGTAATTCATATCGCAGTTAAATCGGGTTGAAGAGTGTTATTATTGCAATATGGAAGTGAAAACAAACTGTAATTGGGCGTGGATGGGTTTTTTACAATAAATTGTAGTTTTTCTGATCAGAATACATTGCATTTTTTATATTTTTTATAAATTTTGAATTCAAAGCGGCATACGAAGTTGAAAATCTCTATAATTGGAATAAAAATCTTTGGAATTTTAAATTTTTTATTAATAATCAGTAAATATCGAAAAATATTGGTAAAATTTAATTAAATAAATTAAGTTGTCATTGTATAATGACTGCGATATCCTATTTCTCCTATACTTATTATTTAAGCACATAATTATTTTTACAACTAATTCAGCGTATCATTTTCTTATTTTACATATATGTAAATACTAAATTTTCAGCAAATTAATCGTATAATTTCATATACTAGCTATATGTAGTTGTATTATTCTTGAGGGTAAAAATGAAATTTTCATGAAATTTTCATTTCTCTATACATATACTACATAATATACAATACGTATGTAAAATCTATATTACCAAATCTTCTATATAATAGAGATTTAATATAATAAAATGTAATTGTTTTTCACACTTAAATTAGTTACATATCATTATAATGAAATAAATTTAATTTAAACGATACAATAAAATAAATTTGATTTTATCAAAAATCCATTACTTATCCTGATACTTTTGCTTAATATACTTACAAAAACAAAAAAAGGACATGAAAGAAACGAAAGAAAGAAAAAAAAAATTCATGTTCATTCAACCATTTAAATTAACTTCGGGCCTGTAAATAAATGACAAATTCTTATATTCTTATTATCGATTCAATTCAGTGTCATATATACACCATTTTTAAATCAAATATACTATACAAAATCAAGAATGTATGTATGAATGTTTTTTACTCCATGTTCAATTTACTTCATCTATATCTTCTCCCTTAATCATAAAACCCTTATCGTATCGCTTTTCTTATACTATGAAAAAATTTTACTAGTTTTCGTTTTTTTTTTCCTATTTCTTTTCGTATTTCATTTGGTATCCTTTTTTTTTTTATTCCTGTAAATTTTTTTTTCTTAATAGTTAGTACATAAAGCTTTTATACACACTCATAAAAATGTTTAAAAAAATGTAATTTAATGGAAATATCTTTGATAATGCATAAATATATATATATATATATTTTCTTTTAAATATATACATACAATTTAAATACATACAAATATAAATAATAAATATATG